AGGAGGGCTCTTTTATTTCCTCTGGGAGGGGTCATTCACTGTCCACCTGTGGCCTTACTCCCAAGTCGATCCCTGTTCTTTAGCTCTTCCCTTCGTCTGGCAACTCTGTGCGTGCGCACACTGGGAACAGGATCCAGCTGTTCTTCTGTCTCACTGATATCTGACTCTGAAGGCAGCTGATAACTGTTGGACAGCCCTTGCCCCCTCTCTGCCTCCGACACAGAGCCCTCACCAGAGCCTTCCCCGGACTCCAGGCCCAGCTTCCTCCCCAACCTCCTCACTCTCTGAGTCTGCTGCCAGCTCTGCTGGCCACTGGAGGATTATCACACTCTCTTCTTGAAAACCTCCAGGGATGGAGCACCCACAACGTCTTGAGGCAAATCATCCCACTGTTTTAATTAAGAAAATGCAGGCACTCACCTGCAGGACTGGCTGGCCATCACCATATCGATGGTGTCCACTCCGATGCCCATGATGCTGATGACCGCCTGGCCTGCTTCCGTATTGGCCAGGCTGAAGATGCAAAGGGACTGGAGGCTGGGGGCACTGCTCAAAAGCAAAAAAGAAAAAGCTCTACTTTCTAGGGGAGAAACATCTGGATGAGCTTCAACCTCACATCAGGAGTTGAAAGAGAGGCTTGCTTTACTCCAGTCCCCCAGGAGGACTAGAAGCTTAGCATCAAGGGAAGAATGCAACATGGGTTTAATTGGCAGGCAGCAGGAAGAAGGAAAAAAAGCTGCAGACACAGCAAATGAAGGAGGATAAGGCCTCAAAGTAGCCTATCCAGGATGTAAGGTTGCTGAAAAAAGCCCGCCCTCACCTGCTACGAGGATCCATTTCAGGGCACAGGTTCAAAATTGCATGGATCAGCTGGAGGATAAGGTATCCTGAAACAAAGAGAAAAGTGGCACCGCGTTCCAGAAGGGAGTTAGAATGGAACAAGCTCAGCTGTCCTCCCAGGACTGCTTCTCAACCTTAGCCACTTTAAGAGGTGGGGACTTCAACTCCCAGGGTTCTGGTCTGAGGAATTCTGGGGGATAAAACCCATACCTCTTACAGCGGCTAAGGTTGAGAAATACTCTCTTGGACGATCTGGGAAACTTTGAAGAGTTTTCTGCCCTTGAGAGCCTCACAGGAAACCACTAATACCAAGGAAGAGTCCCCCTCCAAAAATGACAGGCTAAATCTCAGTCCTTCTGGAGGGAAGGGAAAGTCCTGCTTACCTATTTTTTCTCTCACTCCATGGGAGTTATAGCGCCACTTGTGATAATTTGGCAGCATCTCCTTCAGGACAAACACGATGCACGGCACCAGGCCCTGGCTCTGGGTGCTGCCCAGCTGCCCCTGAAGGAAACANAGACAGAGGCAGAGAGAGAGACAGAGAGAGACAAAGAGAGAGACAGAGACGGAGAGAGATAGAGAGAGAGACAGAGAGAGAGACAGACCGAGAGAGAGAGAGACCGAGAGAGACGGAGAGACAGAGAGAGAGACAGAGACAGAGACGGAGAGAGACAGACAGAGAGACAGAGACGGAGAGAGACAAAGAGAGACGGAGAGAGAGAGAGAGAGAGAGATTAACAAAAAACATGGTTCAAAAATTCACCTTGCATATTCTGGAGATGGGACAGATGTCAGTCCCCTTCAGGCTGTCAAACCAATATGCAGATAGTCCTCAAGTTATGATCACAATTGTGTCCAGAACTTCTGTCATGAAGTGATGTGGGTTATTAAGCGAGTCGTGTCACATTTTGCAACCTTGACACCCCCCATCGGCTTTGCTTCTCCAAAGAGGGATCACCGTCACCATGTGCTGCCTCCTCTGACTCTTTCTTGTCCTCAGCAGACTGCGTCACGGCTGCTTTCGTCCCCATCAAGCCCTTTGAGGGGAAGGAGCGGGGTGACGGCGTGGCTCTTGAGGTCGATGAATTTGTGCCCGAGGTGACCAAGTACTGCTGCCCGTTCACCACCTACAGAAACCGCCTCTACGTCTACCCTTTGCATCTGAAGTACGACGGGCAGAAGACATTCGCCAAGGTGAGTAAGGAGGCCTCACCTGGCAGAGACACACAGGAGGGGGAGGAGAGCTGGCAAAGAAAGGGAGGCCTGAATGTCCCCTTGTGCCCACTGCGGGTCCCTCTTTCAGGCAAGGAACATCGCCATCCGGGTGGAATTCAAGGACTCTGATGAAGGAGATGCCAAAGCCTTAAAGGTACTCCAGAGCCCAAGGAAGAGGTGGTCTCACAAGAAGATGCTCCTGCTCTTCTGGCCTCTTGTGCCTCCCAATGCCCTGTGTTCCGGGATACCCTTCTCCTCCGGCTGCCATCTGGTGCTCATTCCATCTCCAGAACTTCCCTGTCCTTTATGCTCCAACCTTTGGGCTGGATGAGTGATCTCCTTCCCCTTGGACAGGTCCTATCCATGGTTCCACCACAAAACCGCGTTCGACTAAAGGGCGCTCGACGAAACCGCGTAGCTGACGTCATCACAGGGCGACAACAGCGAGCGCTGAGAAAGAAGGGCGCTTTAAATAGCGCTTTGAAAGCAAGCCGATTCAACTTAAGGTAAGGGTTAGGTTTAGGGTTAGGTTTAGGGTTAGGTTTAGGTTAGGTTAAGGGTTAGGTTTAGGTTTAGGTTTAGGTTTAGGGTTAGGTTAAGGGTTAGGGT